TCCAATTCAATTCTTTCAAATAGGGAAAGTCAGAAAAGGCTTATTCTCTGGAGCAGTGATGGTCCAAGTTTAAATGTGATAAACTTTATGAAGAAGACGAAGATCCGCCTTTCTCATTTATCTTCAGTTCATTTTTGTTAGTGCGTCTGTGTTTGCATTTTTTAGTCTGTCCCTCTCTATACTTTCAGTTGCTACATCTTCTCCTTTTATTATGTTACTTTTTATTTTTGGGAATTTTTCTGTGACCCTGTAGCTTCATATTGAAATATAAACTTCTTAGTGTATTTATTTCCACGATCTTTCCTGTCATCTGACCCCAGGAGATTTTGCCGGCATTGCTTCCTGTTGTTTCTCTTTTGTAACTTAATTCTCTAACCAGAAGGTAATTTTTTTTCTTTTGTCTTTTCCATGTGGTTTCCTGTTTCTGTGGGCCTTTGACTTACCAAAAAAACCCACCCAAATCAAACCAAAACAAAAAACCACCATCACACAACAACCAAAAACAATAACAACAAATATTTGTAACTGAAAGGATACTGAAAATTAGAAGGAAAGAGATGGAAACACTGTGAATCTTAGGGTTCTGAGAGGGTTCTGAGAGGGTTCTGACATGTCAAACACTCAGTGCCAATAAAGGAACTCACGTCCTACGGAAGACCGGGGGAAACTGAGAAAGACAATATGAACTTACTGGCTGCCATTGGAGCAATTGCAAAAAGAAAATAAACAAATTAGTATTTTTTTTATAAAAAAATTGTATTTACTTAGAAGCATTCAGAATGTCAACAAACAGCTGCAACTTTTTTTGCAATTATAGAGTGGTATTCAGTTAACAGAACAACTATTATTTCATATAAGCTGCATCAGAGACACACTGAATGAAAAACTACTATCCCGTATATAACTAATTTGCGCTGTGCACCAAAAAGACCTGCTTTAAATTTCCATGCCAATTTACAACCCACACTGTACCAGGCAAGGTTAGTGGCTATTGGAAATACCACCAGGACAGGGCCAGCTAAAGACATTTCTGTAGTGTGTTAACTATACAC